ACGATGTTTTTCACGTGTCAAATATCAACAGATGTTTATCCGATGAAACTTTTGTAAAAGAACCTGTTGAAATCATGGATCAAGAAGTCAAACAATTAAAACAATGTCCTATTCCCATAGTGAAAGTTTGATGGAACTCTTTACGAGGACCTGAATTTACTTGGGAATGTGAAGATCGGATGAAAGAAAAATACCCCCAACTATTTGACAAAACCCCATCCACAATATAAATTCCAGGATGAAGTTGTTCTAACGGGGGGAGAATGTAATACCAATCAAAATAGGTCAATAACAATCACATGTGATTATGTCAATCATGTAATGTGACTTTGTTAAACTAGTAATGTGATGAAATTACTATGTAGTTCATGATAAATTATAATACAAATATGAACTTTCTTTATGATACAACTGAAAGTATACGTCCATACGAATCCAAAAATATAGAGAATGTCTAAATCTGACTTTACGTGAAGAAGTTTTGATAAACCCTAACACTATAAATCTCTATAATAAGAGGAATTTAAAATAGACTTAGAATTAGCTACTGAAGTCTAAAATAGAGTTGTAGTACTCGTAAACACATACGTGTGGATATAAAGAACGTAAAAATGGAGTTTGTATGCAAAATTTATGACCTTCCGAAGATACAGTTGTATGAGCGCGTGACGCGTGTCAGAAACCCTAATCTGATTGAGCTCATGATGTGAGCATAGATACCCATAACGTGAGGAGTCAAAACACCACTATTCAAGGATAGAACATTCATGTCAAGTTTATGGAGTGATAAGTCAAAAGCTCATGATATGAGCAAGTATTTCTCACGACGTGAGGAGTCAAAGGGACACCATCCGAAGCTAGGGACCAAATGGCAAGTCTACGAAGTGAGCAGGATCGAATTCACAACATGAGCATAATTGGTTCACATTGTGAGAGGCTAAAATGAGCCTATAAATAGCCATTTCGACCCCAAGGATTATTACACCTAAATCTCTTCCTTCTCTCTTGTTTGTTGAGCCCAGTTTGCATCCCAAGCCCGACGATCTCGAACCGCTGACCATTTCTAGTTAGATTACATAAAATCACGCAACTACGTGAGTTTCACGACCCCACTTTTTTAATATTTTTGGAGGAAAAAGTATGCTAAATATTGAATACAAGTAAATACTATATTTATATGATAGTATGTTCGTTAATCGGGATATAATTATTTTGTATCTATACAACTATCATAAACTTGTTAGCACGCTATTGTTATAATAGTATAGTAATGTAGATATTGAGTCAAACTTAGGATTCTATATATATGTTGTCTGCGATATAGTTCCAGAGTTATACTTGGATGTTCTGTATGCAAATTGATAATTATATTGTTATTTTTGGTTTTATGTCAAGATAAAACCAGGTATGTTATATATTGGTTTTATGTTAGGATAAAACCAGGTATGTTATATATTGGTTTTATGTCAAGATAAAACCTCGTATGTTATATGTTGTTATTATTGGTTTTATGTTAAGATAAAACCTGGTTTTCATCAAGTTATAGTTGTTATATTGCCTAAAGTATTATGAACTTAAAAGTAATGATCGAAAGCATAGTCTAGTAACCTAGGGTTCTAGACACGAAAATGCATTTGTTGTTAGAGCTATACGAAACCGAGAAGGTCTACATGAGTTTCATCAACTATGATTGGGATCTTAGTGAAAGTCCTCTAACCTATAACCATTAATCCGTGTGAGCGAGGAACTCGTGTATGAATAACATATGGGTTGACAACCCCACTCGTGGTTGCTAGCTACAACACAACATAAGCGAGTGATGAATTGTCCTTTTATTTTTTTATTGTTCCGACGTCGAGGAAGCGTTCGGTAATTTGTATATGTTGTGGAAATCATGAGTGGGTTGTCCTCATGAAAATCATGATTGGGATCTATCAGAAGCTTTGTAGGTCATAGTAGTGGTTACAGACTCATGGTAGAAAATTGTTAGAAACATTATACGTTGTTATTATACAAGTATTAATGTTAAGTATAAGTTTCCCCATACTCACACCCTAGAGACATGAATGTTAAGGTATATCACTTATTTGATAAGTAAACTATTATACCGAATATATCTATTAAACGTTGGAAAGTCAAAATGATACTTTCAAAACTATACTTTTGAACTTGGAAATGTATTATTTTTATATGGAGTCAAAACTTGTGGACTCACCAACTTTATATTGATGTTTAGAATAGTTGGATATATGTCATAAGTACTAGAATATATATATATATATATATATATATATATATATATATATATATATATATATATATATATATATATATATATATATATATAACTTTCCACCATCAATAAAGGTATCTATTTTATAAAATTATTTGGTACTGTTCAATGTATGTTATATAACTGTAATACAAGGAAATGACGTTACACCGCCCAGTGTTTCTGCCAATGGCGGGGTGTGACAATTCCTAAAACCGAAAACCTTAAAAGAAATATGAATTTTAATGATTTAATTTTAATTATTTGACTTTTGTTGGCATAATTGACTTTTAGTTTGACTTTTATTGACCCAAAATAACCGGTTGTTTTCAAGATTGCATCTCCGGAAGTAGTGGTTGATTAACGAAGCTAATGAAGACCTGCTATCATCATAATTATGTCTAATTGTCAAGGCACCTTAAGCATAACAAATTTTAATATTTCTAAAACATTATAAGACTTAATCTTTTGCCTATGAATGGAAGTGATATTTATGTTATATCTTGTTTTGTACTGTTCAATGTATGTGATCGAATATCTTTAACTTCGCGTCCTTTGTCATTTTCGCTATCGTTCGGGGGTGTGACGCCAACTTGATCTTCAATATTCATTTCATTAGAGGAAGAGGAGAGTCTGAGTTCCTTTAGGCGTTTGGATGTGGAAGGAAATAGTAAGGGGACTGAAGTTTGAGTGGGAAGACCAGCAACAGAGACATTATTATCTTAAAAAATGATTTCAGTTTCATATGTAGAGTAGAGTTGTTGAGAAGAGGATTTTCATTAAATGGAGTCAGTTCAACTTCATTGTTGGAGGAAGGAAAAATATCATCGTCTTTGGAATCAATCGATAGTGTCATCGTGAACTGTTTGAAAACGCATATAGTATCAATAATATTGGAAGATGTAGGGTGACATGGTCAACTTCCTCTACATATCACATGCCATGTAGGCTTTGCCATCGGGTAACTATTTGAAATTCAACAAAATGACTTAATTGATAGGTTATTAAAAACATTAATAATCTACTGTGCACGCACGCACACACACGCACACAAACACACACAAAAAAGCACTTTATTTTCCATAAATTCATTTATCTCATTTGTAATCCTCTGTCAGCCACACCGCACTTACGGATATTTGCCTATTTGGAAGAAGTTCACATGTATACATGCCAAATCACCTTTACGTGCTCCAATAAGTCACCATAACGAATGGCTAAGAGTAGACACACTATTTATTAAGTACTAGTTCTATATCTGTGGGTGCATGTGACATGAGAAAATATTGGGGTCAATATTAATAATGGATAATTTGTGGTTGGGATTTTTGCAAGTGGTCTCTTGGGAAGAAAAACTAAAGGTTATAATAATAATAATAATAGTTAGTATGCATTTTTTATATCAAGATTTCACCATTTCATGTAATTTATCTTAGGCTTCTAGGTTAGTGGTACAAGAGGTGTCCTCTCTTTTTGAAGTTTTAAGGATTCAAGTCCTATGATGGACATAAATAAAATTAAATATTCATTTAGAAGGAGATTAGATTTGTTGATTAAAAAATTTTATTTTCAAATAACGATTATCGAATTTAAGGTTAGATAGGCATACCAGTAAAAATATTCATAGTCATAAAAAGAACTAATATTTACCTCATCATATTTGCTCCAGATATTTCGAGATAATTCGTTTGCAATCAATGAAAACATGACTATAAAAAAATATGTAATCAGCCAAACCATAACTTTAATTTGTGTGACAAATCATTTGCAATTTGTATACAGATATTGATTTATAAATGTCAACAATTCATATATAACACGGTAACTATATTATAAATGTATCAAAAAATGAAGTTTCGATAATAACAATTATTTATGGTGGCGGCATACTAAAATAAAATTTGAAAATGTATTTCTAATAAAACTAATAAAATAGAAAACTATGAAAAAATAGCAAATGACCAAAACTATAACTTTAAAATATAGTAACATGAAAATAACAGCTTATAAAATATCAATATTTTAATTTTATAATTCATCGAAATTGTTAGATCAAAATTTTTTAAGAGAAAAAATATAAATGCAAGAATTTGTTATGACAAGAGGCAAAACCTTTATTTTCAAAGACACTACTTCTTTACATCTTATATTAAATGAATGACCATACATTGCGCATAATACAACTATATAGTTGAAATATGTAAAACCATTTTTTTAAATATAATAACGATGTTATTGTTAACTTTAATATAATAATTCTTATACTATGTTGATATATAATATTTGATTATTTTGAATTATTTGATAAGGTAGACATCTATTAAAATTAGACAAAACTGCACAAATGGTCCATGTGGTTTACACAAAATTGTCACTTTGTTCCAAAAAAGTTTTGGCTAGCACCACAAGTTCAAAGTTTTCATTTTCTTGCATCTTTGGTCCAATGGGTTAACTTCCATTTATTTCCTTCTGTTAAATTATGTTTGACTAGTCAAATCAAGGGTATTTTGGTCATTCCCTATTTATGCCCCTTATTATATTAATAAAGGAGAGTTTGTATGTATGCATCGCCATACGGATAATATCGAGCCTAATTCACATTTATAGTCCTTAAAAACCGTGAGTCGATACAATTTCCCTCCTCATTAACTGAGGATCAAGAACCCTAAACTTATTACCAAGGTTGATAGCTTCGATCAGGCGAGTTTCGGAGTGAATGTATATACCAATGTGGCACTTAAGGTTGTCAAGCACGTCATTCGACCCAAGGGTGGTTTATGGTACGTAATTTTGTTTTTGATCATTTTCTTGATTTGCTTACAAGAAATCATACCTTCTGAAGTTCGTTTTTTGCTCTTGTTTTGAAGATGGACACCCTACATTGTTTACCATCAAGCTACATCATGGAGGTGAGTTCACAAAGTATCCAAATGTCAACTACATTGAGGGTACTGTGACGTACGTAGATATGGAAGATATAGAAGAGTTTTCTATTCACGAGATGGATGCGATTATGAAAGGGTTAGGATACTCAGTTCCTCCAATTATCTACTATCATTTTCGAGTGCCAAAAGGAGACATGCATTTTGGGCTAAGGGCCTTAGGAAATGATGGTGATGTCCTCAATCTTGCCCAGTATGTGAAGGAGCATAAACTGATAAGGGTTTACACCGAACATGGTATTACTAACTTCCTTGCTTACTTTATGGCTCCTAAACCTATAAGAAATGTTATTATTGAGCAATTAGAGGAAACTGATGAACATCAACCCCCCCCCTCCCAACTAATAACCAACCGAGTAGCATGCCACAAACATGCATACCACCTGTGATAGCAAATGAAGCTACTTTAGCCTTGTCGATATCCCCTGAAATTGGTGATGGATGATGTTGGTGCTGATAGGATTGGTGGGAATAAGGATGATGCAGCTAATAAATTTGAACACGGATTTAATGAATTTGATAAGGCATGTAATGATATTAACCAATATTTTAATGAATTTCATGAGGCATGTAATGATATTGACCAGGGATTTAATGAATTTGATGAGGCAGCTAATGACTTTGATATTGGGTTGTACCAACAGATTTTACAGTCTAATGAACAAAATGTAGATGATGAGGTTCATGAAGGTGAGGAAAATGCATTTAATAAGGAAGTCACTGAAGAAGAGAATCATGATAGAAATAAAATTAATGATGAGAATGTAGATATGAGAGATTTTGCAGTTGATGATGGAAGTGAAGATAACATAGAAACTGATGAAGAGAATCATGAAAGAAGTGATGAGAGTGAGGACAGTGATAATAGTGATTTATGGGTGGATGAAAACAACATAATCCTTGATGTAGAAGTAGATATGAGGGATTTTTACATAAATATAGATCTTGAAGCAGAATTTCTTGAAAAAAGATTATCAAATCATAGAGAGAATGAGAGTGATGAGGTCAATGAAGAGTTGGATGTTATAGATAATGATCAATCGGATTCATTGGATGAGGGTTCTGATATAGAAAGGAAAAGACTAAATGTAATAAAGGAATTGGGGAAGGAGACTATCTGCTATCAAGGTGAGATACACAAGGTAACTTTTAGGATAGGATATAAATATAAAAATAAGGAGTTAAAGGAAAAGATACAATTGCATGCACTGGAAATAAGAAGGCATATATTCTTTGTGAAAAACAACAAAATGAGGTTAAGGGAAATCTGTAAAGGAACTGTAGCCTTTAATGATGGTCATGTGGGTGAACCTACCCCTTGTCCTTGGGTGATACAAGGTTCTAGGTCAGATGTAAATAGTAACTGGTTCATAAAAACTTATAACCATGAACATAGATGCCTCCAGACAAGAAAAGCTAGATCTGCAACATCAAAGTTTATCTCTAAGCAGATAATGGACTAGATTGAATCCAACCCAACAATCCCAGTCAGATCTCTTCAAGAACAACTTCAAAAGGATTATCAAGTTGGATTCTCTATTCACAAGGTATTCAAGGCCAAATCTACTGCAAAAAAACTTGTCTAGGGTGATTACAAAAAGCAATATGATGTTCTTAGAGATTACATCCAGGAGTTGCAGTCTATTAATCCAGAAACCACTATCAAGTTAGAGTTTGATTCAGAACTCAGCCTAAGTGCTACCTCAAGAAGGTTTAAAAGGATGTATGTGTGTTTGGGTGGAATGAATAAGAGGTTTAGAGCTTGCCTGAGGGATTTTCTAGGTTTTGATGGGGCATTTATGAAGGGGCCTTTCCCAGGAAAAATTTTAACTGCAGTTGGGGTAGACTCCAACAATGGAATATACCCCCTATCTTATGCCATTGTTGAGACTGAGAACACTGATAGTTGGAAGTGGTTTCTAGAGTGTATTACAGATGATCTGGACCTATATGCAAACTCAAAATTCACATTTATAAGTCACAGACAAAAGGTTTGTAATTTGTTCTTTATATTTGACTTATTTGGATGTACTATATTAACTATGTTTTAATTCCTTTACAGGGATTGTAGGCTGCCATTCTCAGTTGTTCCCATGTGCTGAGCACAGGATTTGTCTCGGGCATATACATGACAATATGAGGAAAACATGGAGAACTAATGAGTACAAAGAACACTTGTGGAATTGTGCTACAACTACAACAGTACCAGAGTTCAATCATAGGATGCAGCAATTCAGCTCATATGATATAGAAGCTTATAATTGGTTGAAGCAGATTCCCCCACAACACTGGGAAAGAAGCCACTTCACAGGTATATACTTCAGCTTCCAAATTTACCCTTTTGTGTTAGTATATGTTTGATCCTTTTGTGTTAGTATATGTTTGATCCTGGCATTATTGTGGTGTTTTCAGGTAGAGCAGTTTCAGATATGCTTCTGAATAATCTTTGTGAAGTTTTTAATAGCAAATTGATTAAGGGAAGGGACAAACCACTGATAACCTGCTTGGAGTACATTAGGGAGTATATGATGAAAAGAATATGTATTATCATAAAGGTGAAAAAGAAGTGTGTTGATCCACTAACCCCATCTGCAACAAAGATCATGGAGAAGAATGTGAATTGGGCATCTCAGTACACAGCTAGGTGGAATGGGTCTGATAAATACCAAGTGGAAGGGCCATGGCAGGATCAACATGTTGTTGATATGTTAAAAGATTATGCAGTTCTAGGAAGTGGGAATTAACAGGACTCCCTTATCAGCATGTCGTTGCAGTCCTAAATGACAAAGCAGATAATGGTGAGGAAGTTGGAGAGCTGCACGCTTATGCTCACAGGGTGCACTGGCTAGAAACATGAAAAGCAGCTTATGTGTACAATGTAGAGCCTATTAAAGGTCGAGCAATGTGGCCTATAAGTGAATGCCCAATTAAAATCACCCCTCCTCTACACAAAAATCAGCCTGGAAGGCCCAAGAAAAAGTGGAGGCAATCTATTGAGGAGAAAAGTCAAAATAAGGGAGACAAGTTTGCTAGTGGTAGTGGGAGTCAAATCCATATTGCTAATGGGAGTGGAAAGCTTACAAGAAAGTTTATCCAAGTAACTTGCATCAAGTGTAAAATTAAAGGGCACAATGCTAGAACTTGCAAAGGCCAAGGGGGTAAGTGATTGGATTTTAATGGATTTTGATGTATGTAGGGTATAAGTGTCTTTTGGGATAATGTTATGTTTATGTGTATTGTATGTTTAGTAATTTATGTGTTTTAGGGTTTAAGCATTTTGGATGTTATTTTTGGTACTTGATAGTGTACCCATGTGATGTATGGGAACAATTTACACTGGATTTGATGTAATGGCTTATGTTATGTTTAATGTCTTGATGTTATTCTCATGTATAATTTTTTGTTGTAGAACTTGACCAATACGCCCTTTTAAACAAAACATACAATTGTCGTTCATAATGTGTAAACTACAAACTAAATAAATTGACCAATATGCCCTTTTAAACAAAACATACATTTGTCATTGATAATGTTTAAACCACAAACAAAATAAATTGACCAATATGCCCTTTTAAACAAAACCACAAACAAAATAAATTGGTCAAAAAGTACATACCAAATATAATCACCATTGAAAAATTCTTGCAAAACATGTCTTACATTGCTTACATTTTAACCACAAAGTATTGCCCAAAAGATTACATTGCTTAAACAAGATACTACCAAAAACATTAAAACACTACCCAAACCATTACACTTAAATATACTGCTTAGAAACCACCCAAACCATTACAGTTCAATCTACTTCTTATAAACCAGAACAAACACAAACAACACCTAATTGCATAATAGGTAACACTTGAGTCTTGTGTTCTGTGACTTCAATTTGTTGATTGACCTCAGCAGCCCAGGTATGATAGCTTTTGAACGTTCACAAATTGGACCATCAAACCACCCAATAAATCGACATTTGGATCCCTTCAAAATTTAAGAAACAAAAGAAGATCGTAACATGTAATGGGAGATTTATGCTGAAATCTTAAAAAAAACATTTGAGTACCGCAGTAGGTCATCCCCAGAAGCGTCTACCTGGATTTTTATCAGTCCATGCTGTGCGAACTATGGCCATTTTACCACAAAAACAAAGAACCATTTTTTATTTTGATTTCTTGAAGAAATCGAAGACGATCGCAGAGTTGAAGAAGACCAAGCTGAGAACGACGACAAAGAGGGATTAGGATTCGTTCTTATAGGACTCCTTTATTAATATAAAATAAGGGGCATAAATAGGGAATGACCAAAATACCCCTGATTTGACTAGTCAAACATAACTTAACAGAGGGAAATAGATGGAAGTTAACCCATTGGACCAAATATGCAAGAAAATGAAAACTTTGGACTTATGGTGCTAGCCAAAACTTTTTTCGACCAAAGTGACAATTTTGTGTAAACCGGACCATTTGTGCAGTTTTGTCTTAAAATTATATAATTTCAATCAGCACAACGATATCTACTTGCAGGTTACACATGAATAAAATTAAATATAAAATATAGTTGAATGTTATTTATAGTTGTTATTGTTAGTTAATTATATATATATATATATATATATATATATATATATATATATATATATAACATTTTAATTTATATCGTTGTAATTATTTAAAAAATTAAAAATATTTTTGTTTTTAAAAATAACAATATAACTTTTTTATATAATTTTACTTTTAACTATTCTTATTATAAATTAATTTTAACTATTATTGGTGTAAATTATTTTTAAGTTATTAAATGAGAAACTCTTGATGCTTATAAAAATAATAGTAGAAGATTTTTTAGTTAACTTACTATTATAATTTAGGTTTTGTATTTAACACTAAAATTTAGAAAAAAAAAATTATTATTCAATTGAAATTTCGATTTATGTTGATATTTTAACGTTATATTTAAACTAACAATTTAAATATTTTATAAAAACTATTAAAAAATATATGACCTTAAAATGATAATGATTTATACATAACATATCTAAACTTACAACGTGTAACATTTAATGGAAATTTCAATTGCTTTAGCATTTAATATTATATTTAAAAATTAACAATTCAAAGATTTTGTACAAATAGTTAAAAAATTGTTACTTAAAAATAAAAATGGTTCATAAGTAAGAACATATTTAAACTAATGAGCTAGGTTAAAATATTTCTAGCAACTATTTTGTACCAAAATGCATCAATGAGAATTCAAAAAATAATAAAGAAAAAACATTATAAATGATCCTTATGGTTTCTAAAAATCTGAAGTTTAGTTCCCGTGGTTTAAAAACTTTTGACGATTTGTCCTTATTGCTAACACTGTTAACTTTTGTCCGTTAACTGAAGGGCATTTTCATGATTTCACTACCACAGGGAACATTTATGATGTTTTATCATTTTTAAAAATAAATAAATAAATAAATATAATTAAATATATAAAAGCTCTCTCTCTCTCTCTCTCTCTCTCTCTCTCTCTCTCTCTCTCTCTCTCTCTCTCTCTCTCTCTCTCTCTCTCTCTCCAGACAAGAAAAAGTAACACCCAACTTCCCTTGTACCATCTTCGTTTTCCTTATTTGACTTGCAACTTAAACTACACATACATAAACACAATTAAATTTGAAACACAACAAATTTACACCAAATTCTGAAACAAATTGTATGGAGATCACCAGAAAATGTACCACCAGTAGAAGAATAATGGAAAAAATGGAAAAGGAAGCGAAAGACCTAAGAAGAAAAGCACCTTATGTTTATCTTTCTTTCCCTTCCCCGTCCCTTCTTCATCTTTAGCCTGAATAGGTGAGGAAAATAATGATTTCAACCTCTAGTGGATATTCCAAACTCGTATGTGGAGTCACCGGAGCACCAGAATCACAAGACCCCAACATATAAAGATAACTGAATGAACAGTGAGAGATAAACACCCACATACCCACATACAAATCAATTTATGGTAGGATCAACACCCACACACAAATCGATTTCTAAAAATGAGAACACACACACTAACTCAAATTGATTTATGGAAACAAAAAAAACATGATTTCAGTTTTTGATTCGAATTTAGGATTTTGATTCTTAAGTTACCATTGAGAATAAAGCTCACAAATGATTTCCATCGAGCTAATGTTGAGGAAGAAGAACCAAAATGTGTTGGTTGTGACTGGAAAACCGAGATGGGAGGAAGTGGAGTTATAAGTACCAGAATTCAACCTCCAAACTCTTCATTTATTTCACCTCCTACCTCCCGACATCATTGTATATCTTTGAAGATGTGCTCATCCAAGAATCAAGTCAGTACTTGTTCATAATGAAATCGAAGGCGGATCCAAACCGGATGAATTCGAATATCATTAGAAATCATAAGTGGTTCCTGATGAAATTGATGGAGAAGATCGGTCAACCTTCTTCTCCACCAGGACACCATCAAATACCCAAAATGTGAGCCTCAAATTAAATCCCAAAAAATCCAACCGGAAGCGTCACTATGTATCGTAATTAGGTTTCTAGTTTCGATTTGGGTGAAGGTACATGTTTTCCGACGATTGGATGAAGGATTTATGGTATCTTTAGAGATATAGATGAGGAGAGGTGATGTTGGTGATGTTGTACCGAAGGAAGAAAGGAATGAACGAAGGGGAAAAGAAGAGAGAGAGAGAGAGAGAGAGAGAGAGAGAGAGAGAGAGAGACCTTTTATATTTAAGTATATTTAATTTTTTCTTTTTTAAAAAAAGTCGAAAAAACATTATAAATGGTCCCTGTGGTAGTGAAATGATGAAAATGCCCTTCAGTTAACGAAAATGGTGTTAGCAATAAGGACCAACCGTCAAATTTTTTGAAAACACAGGGACCATCTATGACATTTTTAAATCACGGGGAGTAAACTTTAGATTTTGAGAAACCACAAGGACCATTTATGATGTTTTTTCAATAATAAATAATTAAAAAAATCATTAAAGGGTATTTAGAACCTTTTGTACTTTTAATTAAGGAAATCATTTAATTGAAATCATTCAATTAAGGAAATAAAGTAAATATATTTGACCTAGTTATGTTTGTGGCCGAACAAGTTCATCATTGACATCAACACCATCACCATCACCGCTTCTGCTTCTTCTTCTATAATCAATGGATCCAAAAGGGAGCACTATAACACCTGGTTCCTGGTATGTAATTTAAATTAAGCATTTTGCATTTTGTCCTGGGACTCGGCGAGTTGGTGGCCCAACTCATCAAGTAGAAGCGAATTGGACCCGGGAGTCAAGTGGTTGACTCGGCGAGTTAGAAGTCAGACTCGGCGAGTCCGTGCTGTCTTGACAAAAACCCTAATATGAGGGTTTGCACCCTATATGAACACATTAACTTGACCTCCATTGTCCCTAACACTCCCCTAGAGCTGCATATCGAAACCTTAGTCGTATATGTGTGTGTTAAGGCCATTTTCGTGCTTTTGTTGACTTGTGAAGCTAGGAAGGAAGAAGAGGAGCTTGAGTATTCGACTTGGGGCTTGTAGATCAAGAAATCTCATTCCATTTTCAGCTTAATCAAGGTAAAATGCTCTTGCTTTGGTCTTTCGTTTGGTTGTTCATCTTTAGTATGTGGGTCTTTGGTGCATTTAGGGCTTTTCAAGCCATTTTCGGATTTAAGGAGTGTTATGTGGACTTTAGCTTCAGATCTGGGCCTTAATAGGTGTCTCATGGCATAAA